GCAGAGGCGGAGGCAGCGAGGTAGACGAAGGTGCGGTACACGTAAGCAGTCTCCGCATCCAACATGTCCGAGTAGCCCACTTTGAACAACTCGTACAGACCAAACTTGAAGAGACCCTGTCGAAGAATTACACTTTAAACAATAGTTAAAATAATTAGAACTTCATTCACATAATTCACTCAATAGTCGAATTTTCTTGAACGTTTCGAAGACTATTTTAATTAAGTTATTCGAGGAAATTTTAAATAGATTGAACGCCATTTATACGGTATTTCGGACTTTTTGATTATCTTTGAATTATCCTGATCGACTAAAAATGAGGCTAATTTTGTACTGTACTTTATTAATAGACGAGACTCAATTTCTGTTTATGTTTTATCTATGTTATAAAAATAATTTGTCCGTTCACTACGTGATTTCTGTTACCTGCAGCGAGTACCCAATTAATGTGGGCGCCCAGCCTTTAGCTAAGCTGCGCACGCCCTCCTCGCCCACAGTCAATCTGAAACCGTTCATCACATTCTTGTACTTGTCTGGGTCGACCTGCAGCCGGCATTTCACCAGATCCAGAGGCACCACCGCCGTGTGGGTTAAGCCTGATAAAAAATGTATATGATAATACTTCTAAATTCGTGCGAAGAAAAACATACAATAGCATAGAATGGAAGAAGGCATTAAGGAATGAGGTAAACGTTAGGTTTTAAAATATTCTTTTCAATTTCGATAAGATACAAATTTGTCCGCGTTAATCAAATTTGAGCGATAAACGTTGAGGATATTGTCAAGTTCATGTCCGTTTTGAAGCGCATGCTCTGATTTAACATGCAGCATATACGGATAACATTTATATAATAAAAACCAACATTAAAAGTAACGGTATCCTTGAAGTGCAGGTATTTTAATAATGAGTTTCACATCGTTATTTCTGAAATGTTTAAAACGATTTTTTAACTGATAACTAGTAATAATACGTTTATTGTACAAGTTCGACAGCAAAAGAAAGCCTACGATAAATGGATACATTTTGTATGTTAAAAAGAAAACTTACCGCATGACAGTAGACCGCCGACACCGCAAAGCGCGAAGTACTTGGCGGAGCCGAACTCGCACGAGTACGTCTGCTCCGGCTCTGACGAAGCAACTATTGTCTGGATGGGCTGGTACAGATATCACATTAAGAACAGTTTTTGATAATATAAATAGCTAACAAGTATTCAATAATAGGTAACCAACAACATAATGTAACTCCGAAACAAAATCAGTGTCAACGACAGCAGTAGTGCTGGTTGGCAGTCTTTTAATTCCACGAAAAATTTACAGACAGAGATATAATAGTCAACCTGTACACTTTCTGTGAGTGCGGGAGCGAGCTCATTGGCATCGCACAAGGCTGGTGTCAGGGGCCCGTGGAACGGGGACTTGCGGGCTGCCTCCAGAAGTGACGCAAACATTGTGTCTAAACAAATACATAATCAAAAATAGGTATTGCTCTACTGTGACAATATTTTTGCACAAACTTGTCTATACTGCTCGAGATATAACCGCTGCTTTAAATTGATCTGAATTATATAAAAGGGCGTGAACCAGTATACCAGGTAACATGCTTAGACGGTCGTAATTTACTTAAAATTTACAATCTGTTATGTAAAAAAAAATTATTATTGATTTTTTCTATATTGATTTCAGGAATTATTTTTTTTGTGGCCACTTTTATGCAGTTCACTAATGTAAAACACATTACCTGAAAATATTTTAAAACACTGCACTTAACTCTGTAACTGTACACATTACTCGTATGATCAGCTGAGTGAAAATCTAATTCAATTATCCATGTCGCATATCTAGATCACTATGTAATTGAGTTACGCACATATCGATTTTTAAAAAGCGATACCTAAACAGTGCGGATTTACATGTTGAAATTTTTATATGCAAGTTTTTTTTTACAGAAAAAGGGGCAGCGGATCCGCTTCCATACCATGCGACCTCCACGGACATCCTCAACGTCAAGGGAACTAAAAATGCCGGCCTTTAAAGTAGGAATATGTCTTTTCTACTAATTGTTATATGTCATTATGTAAATCAGTACTGGAATACCTAATAATTGACATTTTTAGGGACCCCTGTAATCATTTTATAAAGGACCCACCATCTCGATGAGTATAAGAGATTAAAGGGCCACGTGTAATTGCTCCTGACCTAGTAACCTTGTAATTTACCGGTACGTTAAGCAAAGGTAATACAGTAAATCGAAAGATCTAAATAATTTAAATTGAATCCCAACCTAACATACACATATAACGTCCTATATTGATGTTATGTAATAAAATAAAAGGAAAAACACTTACCTATAGTTTTAAATTGATATCAACAATTCGGCAGTCCTCACCGCACTACCGAATAATCTTACATTATCTTGATAATCGACCGATATCTTTAATTCCATTCGTCTACACGTAAATCCAGATATCGGCATTTATATAATCACGTGAACATTATATTTAATTTATTTTCATATAATTCTGGCAACATTTTAAAATCATCATGAAATCCCAAAAAACTTATTTAAGTTATTAATTTAAATGGAATTATTTCAAGAAAAGCAAATCTGGAAGTAATTACAAACTAGAAACAATTTGTATTCACATACATTTCTTTTTTATTCGAAATTTAAAAACCTAGATATCTTTACTTTGAATCCCACTAACCGTTATGCAACCAGGTGATACAAAAGGAATGTATTGTAAATAACAACACCAAGTAGAATTTTCAACGTAAATAATTTTATTCAAACTAGTCTATTGAACATCACTAACTGATAAACATTGTACATCTGCAAATATGGGATTTCTCGATAAAATGTTAAAACACTAAATTGTTAAAAAGTCATCATTAAATTTATTAATTTACACAATGCATAACAATTAATCGAATACAATATCTTCTTAATATAAAATAAATAGCTATTAAAACAAAAAAAAAATCATTTTCACAATTATGTTAAAACATCAGGTCGAATTAACTTAATGCATAAATTAAAATAAAACTTTTAGCATTACAATGTGCACCCCACTGACTAAATATTGACGGGTACATCGAAGAAAACTTCATGTCTCTAAATAAAATACTGAGGAATTAAAACGATAAAATATGATTATTTACATGCAATTGTAAAACAAAGACCACGACCAACTGAACTGTTGGGGAGAGAATAAATACATTCGATTTAAGTACATAACTGAGTATGAAACACGTAATGCCAATATCGAAAAAGTACAGTCAGCGTCAAAACCATTTCACCTACTGATAAAAACTATTTTCAATTCCAATAGTAGCATATTAAAATAAAATGTAATTAAATGCTTCCTAGATCTGTCTTTCACATTGTGTTCAAATTTATTTTTGTCAATATTTGACGCTGACTGTACCGCTGAACTTTGGTAACTTTTGATAGGTTCCTTATTCGTCAATAAGGATGTATCAAATTTCAAACAATGTCAGTCGTAACTTTGTCAATCTACACTATGTCATGGCAGAGACCTACAAATATGCACAAATGCTCCTCTAGTGAACTGTTAAGTACAGCGTACAGCACGAAGTATCGTAGTATTCCACTGTCGTAAAAATACACATTTTCGTTCTTTGTAATGAACAATATGTATTCTAATGTCACGACCGTCGAATTCTACGGTTTAGTGTTAAGTTTCCGTGCCGTCAGGGCCATATTTGCAGATGGGCCATTTTTATTTGCGTATGAAAATAAAATTCTCAATAATAAATTAATGTCAAACACTATAAAGGTGGTGACACACCGTAACACAATTGCTTACTATAACCAACAAACGAGTTCGCACGTCGCCGAATGTGGATGAGATTCAATGACTACTAAACAGATTGCCGCTTGAGCAAATAATTGTGATTACATTATAATACGTCTTAGCCTAGCCATACGGGCCATGCAGGCCATGCGGGCCATGCTAGTCATGCAGGCCATGCTGGCCATGCAGACCATGCGGGCCATGCGGCTCGCGGGAGGTGGGCTCAACTACACGGTACACTCGCACCCACTGATCTATCTACACTGGAATGTACGTAAAGGGTCGTTTCCACTGATAAATTTACTGATATTCGTAAGACATTCTGTTTGTTGGACGTTGATATCTTGTACTTTGTCTTATATGTAACATATTGATTACTACCTGCGTTATATCGTTAGCGTCAGTGGAAACGCACCCAGTTAGCGCAGTGTATGCCAGTGTAAGCAGGTCAGCGGCGGCGACCGCGCCTCAAGTAAACAACTAATACAGCTAGTTTGTAACATTCAACATTCTCAGTGCACCGTGAATTCGACGCAATCACTTTACGTGTACATAATTTATATTTAATAGTAATTTCTTAGCGCTCGGCAATCCCGAGCGATCCGATTAAAAATAACATGAATATTTTTTTTATTTAATTTATATAATATACAATTTACATAGTTAATACAAGCATAATTTGCCTTAATAATGTCAATAAATAAAATTGTATAGTCAACAATGCATCACCCTCTAGGATGTTATAATTTGCACGAACATAAAGCATTAGTCTACAGTGAAAGCCGTTAGGATCAACGCACGAGTGAAAATTTACATTTTAATAAGAAATTGAAAACGTACTTACTCTAGACGTGCCGAACGCTCACTGACCGACGGCGCTTCGCAGTTTACACTATCCAACACTTGTGGGAAAACATGTTTCTCTACAGTGTGAAAACAAGCCGTTAGCTATAAAGTATCATATTTGCGATCTTATTTTAACATGATAAAATTTTAAATATCAGCAATAACAGACAACTAATTGCCTTTTTCTACAATATCATGCAAGCCAAACGATCACCACAATTTATATTAAAAACAATGTAAAATTGAATTAATTTATCGTAGTCATTCACTACCGAAATTGGTTTAAAATGTATAAATACACCTTAAGACAAAACTAGAAAATTCCATAAAACTAGTTTCGATATGATACTTTATGCTAACAAAAGTATTGCTTCAATTTTCTTGCTCAATAGAGCGTCGTCATCGACAATAACATCCGAGATTCTGTTCCCGCGTCACAAATACATTCGACTTACGTTCATATAAAGATTTAAAACCTTAACAATTGTCTACATTAAACCCCCAAGGAGAAGCGGAAGAGGTATTTTTCCCCAACTCTTTAAACAGAACTCACTCAGAATCAAAGACATTTAAAAAATATATAGACTAGACATAGTGAAAAACATTTTTTTACCGGTAATTACTTTATAAGGTACTATGTTAGTTGTCTAGTTTAGTACCACCTCATGTCCTAGTATTGATAGTTATAAAACATTTTACAAAATTATAATCTCCATCTTTTGTTATAAAATAAACTAAGCAGTGTCACAAAATAAAATAATTTGAATATAATTTAGTGACATTAATGGCATTTCATTTAAATACAATTAATTAATGAATTTTATTGACATGATGTTTTGAAGATCTACCAAAAGATAGCGTTAGTGAGACATGTAAAAAAAAAAGTCTCAAGTGAAGTGTGACCTATGCCTCCTCTATATATATTTGAATGTCTTTAAAATACGCCAAAGATTAGAAGACGAATATAGAAGGTCGTTTGCTTCGTTTCCTGTAGTTGAGCGTGTTGAAGTCCCAGTCGACGATGGTGTTGTCTGTGCGGGGCGTGCGGGGTGAGCGCGGGGTGCGCGGTGTGCGGGGGGTGCGGGGCGCGGCGGGCGGCGGGTGCGCGGCGGGGGGCGCGCGGCGGTCGCCGGGGGGCGCGCGGCGGTCGCCGGGGGGCGCGTCTCACAGGGGGTCGCGGCGCGGCACCCACACGGTGGGTCCGCTCTCCGCAGTGATGACCGCCTTCACTTTCGCGTAGATCTCTTCAGGCGTATCGCCGGTCACCACCGCTGTGAACAATTAAATTAGATTTTATAGCTATAGCTTGCGAAATTAAAGAAAACAGCGTGGGTTTGGCTTATTCAAAACTAATCTATCATCAACCTGCGCTTGTCCCTACAGAGGGGGTCGGCCCTGTCGACACAATGCGTTCTTCCATACATCTCTCTTAGCCATCATAACTAAACTACGCGAATGGCCGTTATTCAAGACTAATTAATCATTATATCAAATTTCATCAACATAATCCAAAGAATTTAGAATGATTCCATACATCCGGCCGAATATGGTCAGTGTGACCATACAGACCTGTAAAGTATTCAGCGAATTCTTGTTCCATTTTCAGCGCTCGTTCGTACGTTTTCTTCGCTTGATCTTCAGTCATTCTTTTATTCATCTCCCTGAAATACAAATTATTTTTCATTTATTTTGTCAATTTTTAAAAGTAAACCAAATATAAAAGAAAAATAGATCAGTTTTTAAATTAATTGGTTAGACAACGAGACATTACTCACATAATAGACTCTACACTCTTTGGTTTAATAAATATGGCAATGGGATAGAGCTGCGCCACCTGCAGTCTCTTGATGGCGTTCCCGCTCACGTCCAAAATGCAATGCTTGCCCTGAAATTGAACAAAAAAAAACTTCTATCTATCTTAAAAAATAAAGACATTCCCACATGACGTACAAATGTGTAATAGGATTTTTTATTGAATGCCTAGTTTTTTAAAGATCTTAGTTTACGATCATGAAGAAGAACTCTTAAGGCCGCTACACACGCTCATATTTATCTAAAGTCGGATCGTTTAGATCTAACGTGTATAGAGTAAGTCTAGTTTTGTTATATTGATTTGAGCAATCGGACTGTTCAGATAAACTTAAACGTGTGTAGCGGTAAGTCTTCCTTACATGTATAACATACCTTCTCAGCTACCTCCCGCACAGAGGCGACGGAGGTACCATAAAGGTTGTCGTTGTACTGTCCGGCCTCTATGAACAGGTGGTTCTGTATGTCGCGCTCCATCTGCTCCCGCGACGACACGAAGTGGTAGTCACGACCGTCCACTTCGTAATCACGACGCGGCCGCGTTGTATCTGCACATACCACACATCTATGTAAAATACATTTAGATAACATTTTTTAGACAAATACAAAAGTTTTAAGAAGTTAAACATATAAAAAGACAAGTCTATTAACATATAAAACATCACATGTTAAAATATCTACATGTATAGGACACACCTATATAGACTACATTTGGATATCCTTTTCTAGACAAATACGAATGCTTTGATAAGTTAAAAATTAAAGTCAATTGACGTAGACAGTATTAGATTTTTAAGTCTAATGTGTATAAGTCAAGAAAGATTTGCGTCAGCTTTGTTCCATCAAAACGAAAAAACTTTCCTGAAAGCACAGAATTACCAAGCAAACGAGACGCCTACATATATGCTATCGATGTTAAAATATTAATTCAATTCTATAAATAATTACCTACAAACAACAATAAGGTCATTTGTAACGTTCGGACTTTGTTTCCTTATCTCTGATTGACATTAGCACATGCAACACACATTGACTCGCATCCAACTGATGTAATTCTATATTATATTACAACTGATACTAGAATATCATGCTATATAAATATAAATGTATTTAGGCATTAAATAGTATATAAATATATCGATTATAATACCATTGATGCTCGGAGGACCAAAATACAAATTACACTATAAAAAACTGTACTAGATGTTGTTTAGTTATATTAAATTAGCTTTTGCCCGTGACTCCGTCCCGTCCTCCGTGGAATTAAAAAAACCAATGGTAAGTTTCCTATGTGTTTTTCAAAAGTATATTCTACACCTATTCCAAATTTTATCCCGATCCGTTCAGCCGTTTAAACTATAACAAACATCCATCCATCTCCACTTTCACAATTATAATATTAGTAAGAAGTATGATATAGACGTTTAGAATTAATTGATATATTTACTTACGAGGCACACAGCTTCCAAACTTGTCAGGAAACTCTGATATGAGGTCATCATTGATCCTGTCTTTGAGAGGGCCCAAGATAATAACCGGCCTCGTGTACGCTATCGTCAACTGCTGTACCGTCTCATACGATAGCACATTCTCATCTTGGCCTGTAAAAAAAAACAAAACTCACCACCACACTAAATAAAATCAACAATATTTATATAATCTATAAAACCTCAAAAATCAATTTCTTCAGTTCTCTATCAGAACCTTGTCTATTTTCCAATTGTAAGTGTAGATAAAATACATTAAAAAATACAAACTCGTCTACACTAAATTATTGAAACAAATTCCTTGTATACCATGCCTTAGTTTCAATTATATATATAAAATGGCAACAATAAGAAACAATGAATTTGCTTAATAAAACCTTATTCAATTACAAATGTAATAAATCGTAGATATTCGTGCGAGGCGTGCTAGGTGACTAGTCTAGTTTTTTGGACCTATTCTATCATTCTTAATGTTTTTAATTCGGTTTTCAATTTCATAATGTCTCTTTTCTTACTTAACTGGACAATGACAGGCTGAGTGAAAATTATTTCGCACTAATTTTATGTGACAATGCACTTGTCTTATATTCACGCGTATAAGCGTTTTCGTAAGTACATATCTTGTCACTTTGGCGTTTTTCTTAATAGTGAGTTCGAATTAGTCACCGACCAGATAAAGTACTTACATAAAGCCAAAATTAAAATGTACACTATAAGTCACTCATGCTAAAATTTTTAGCTAAATATATCGAATAAGAGACAGGATTAAAACAAACTTTTTAACAGTTAATCCTGGCTTATAATCACAATACTTTTATGTAAAAAAAAAATAAAAGCGAAAATACATAAAAGAAAACACCTTGCAACGACTAGGCTAATAAAATAATTACAGCGTCTATGTGTTCGAAGCGGAATACATTTGATGTTGAAAAGGAAACCCAGCGTAGTAGAGCTCTGGTAATAAATCAACTGATAAAACAAGCCCGTATGGTGATGTGAATGTGATGGCCGCACGTGTCGTGGCATGCTGGTGACGTGCGGGAGGCGGCTACAGGCGAAGCTCATACGTGCGAAGCCGCGTATGGCAAGGGCCCTCCGGCCCTCCCGCGCCCTCCTCCGACTAGTCGTCCGCGAGCTAATCGATACTGACTCGACTGAGGCGGTCCGGAATCGATTTTATTACGAAATGGATTTCAAACATCGTGAGCTTCGATGACGAGAGATTCGTGTGCGGATAGGCTATTAGATTTATCGCCTTGTATGAATTAGGAAAAAATAAAAAATACGGAAAAAAACTTAAGATGACATAAACAATAGTAAAAAAAGATCGAAGTGTTATTTGAAAATGAATAACTACGTCTCTAAATTGATGATCATAACCAGAATGCGGGAGGTAAGGTAATCCGCTACGGCACTCGCAAGCTACGCCTCACTCCCAAAACTTACTCTCGTCCTCGAGATATATGAGCGTTATCTCCTCCATCATGGGAAGTTCCACTCGGTACAAGATTTCCCCTACACGTAGAAAAATTAACGTTATGTACATTTAAAAACATTCTACATGATACCGTATGGGCCAAAACAAGGATTCGATTGCACAACTTGGAATTTATTTTGCAAAGATCGAGAGATGTTTTCATTAATTTGGTAGCAAATTTATTATTTTTAAATAGCGCTTGAGAACACAAGGTGCAAATAAAAAGACAATAATGGGATGAGAACAGGTGTGTGTGTTTTCTGATGGACAGAAGCACGGCGCGGCCGAACACCGAACGCCGTCCGAACCGAACAGTGCCGCGAACCAGTCTCACGAATACTTCGATGTCTAACGACACAGCTGTGCAAAGCGAATATTAATACCTAGATAGAGTACACTCAGCCATCTATTTATATCCATCAAATTATTTTCTACACCTATAACCTTTTTTTTGGCAACACACTCCATTGACGAAAATGTTAATTAAAAAGAAAAAAATACACCCGACTACTTGCTGTAGTTGCTACATCGAAGCTAAGTTAAAACGTTTACATATTTTATTACATAAGCAAGCTAACATGCAGCCATTTAATCTTGTACAAATCTGGCAACACCGAGGACAGCTGGTCGCATGACGCTAAGTGTATATTGTGGCTAGCGGATTTAAAAGTAAATTAGATAATCCACTTACTTAAAACAACCAAACGGGTTTTCTATTATTAATATAATTAGACATGATATAATAAATTAGTTATTACGTAATACAATTAACTGCCATACATCAATATATTATTTCAGTCTATCGTAAGGTTTTTTAAGTTAAACTTAAAATAAACAATTAAATTCTTTCCATAAACAAGGATAATTCATTTAACTTAAATATGAAATTAACAATTTCACAATTTTCCTAAATAAAAGTATTAAATCATATATGCTGTGAACATAATTTCTTAATATAACCTCAAAATTTGTGTATACTCTGTGACATGTTAAAACTTTTTATAATCCTTAAAAATACTTAAATTAGGTCAATCTAAACTACATAAGGATATAATATCTACTTAAATTCCAATTATCAAAGTTCTCATTTACCAGGATATTGTGAAACCATGCTGATGCATCTCACACAATAAATATATTTCAATAGATTAATGCTTTAAATATAATATTTTATAAAATAAATATTTCACTGTAAAATATAATTCTAATAATTAACCTATCTCAAGAGATCATTATAAAATGTTTCTTATCGATATCCTATCGTAAATTGTACCTATTCGTAAGTTTCAGTTGTTTATGGTCTAGGGCGTTATTGTAATCTTTGGGTTTTAATTACAATCAAAACCCTAAACCATAAACAAGTGCAACTTACGATTAAACTTGTGTATTTCTAAAAAAAATCTTGTAATAGAATTTTTCCTCGCACATTACCTCAAAATCATTAATTTTGACTCATATTTTTCACAAAGACTATAAATTTTAAATATCAATATGGCCGCCATGTATTTGACGCGTATTTGTTTAATTTTACCTTTAAATTAATACGAAGGATAATAATTATTATGTAAATAACATTTGTAGCCTGCACGAATGTAGCCAGCGCGTTAGTACAATATCGATGGTATATCAGTATCTGTGATTTTCAAAATAATTTATATAAAATTTAACTCTTGACTTGTACATCCGAATTACATGTACAAAAACATCATATATTACCCTCACATTCAGTTACAAAAAGAAATAGTTTTGTCATAGATATTTCGGTACATGAAAATTAAAGGTAACTTTAATATTTTCTTATACATAACATAATACTTGAAATATACGAAGACTATATATATTACTAAAAATAATAATAAATATACGTATACGAAATTAATATATAGTTTAACCATATTGGGATATTCTGAAATATTAATAAATGTAATAAAATTTAATAAAACAAACCATTGTAATAAATAAAACATTAACTTAAATCTACATGGGACAATAAAAATAAAATAATTAAATAACTCTTTAGAACAACTGTAATACGATTGTGTAAAAACGGCGAAACTATGAAAACCTACTTATGATAAACAGCGATAGAAAAAGTAAAATATAGGTGTATATAAAAAATGACTTACCATCCGCATTGGTATCCTCTTGCGTGTAACATAGCATGAAAGCTGCAAAAAAAAAAACACAAATATACGTTAAAATTTAAAAAACACTAATATAACATCGGTCAGTATATAAGGATGATAAATTAAACTATGGCATCCTATTCCAATCATATCTTTTATGAAATCGCTAGCTTTTGCCCGCGACTGCCTACTTTAAAAAAAAAACTTAATAAGTCTGTGGATTCTTTCAGACTAAGTACTACTTCTGTGCTACTTTTTTTTTTCATCCGTTCATCATATATTTCATCCGCTCAACAGCTAAGGGTACAGACTCTAACAAACATCCATCTATGTAAACTTTCTCATTTATAATATTATAGTAAGAAGTAAGATAAGAACTATAATAAAAAAAACTTACGTTCTTGATCCGAACCATCTTCTGATTTACCATCCTCTCGACTCTTCATGAACGGAAACTTTCTGCTGAATGATAAAGTTTTCTTTTTTCTCTCAAGCGTCGATTGGCTCTGTAACATTTAGTACAGATGTTGTATTAAAAAATCATTAAAATCATTCAAAAAACGAATTCAAAACCATTAAAACGTCAAAACCAAGAAACTGAGTAGACAAAATTGAAATAAAATTTTAATTTGCACGAGCTTGTTTACGAACGCAAGCGCAATCGTTTTGACACATGGAAATAAGCACCATCTATTATTTACTTTCAAAACTAAAGCGGTAAAGTTGCCTACCTGTATTACCACACCTGTCTTTTCATTAAATTCATAAAAAAAGGCCAAAAATAAATGAAAGATATGAACTTACAGTACTTACTGGCGTGCCCTGTCCCTGGAACTTGACCTGCCTGTCGCGAGCGCGCTGCTTGCGCTCCCAGCGACGCTTCGACGGGATGATGCCGATCGCGTCCGCTTCCGTCGTGTCCAGGCGTCTGAACAACATCATTATTAATTCTTATTATAATGAAATAGCCTTTTATTCAGAATACCTTACAAAGAACTTATAAACTAGGTACACAATTTTTTTCTTAACAGCTATCTGCCAGTTGGCAGAGGCCTCCAACGTTTTAATACTCTGGTTTATTTTTATATTATTTATCTTGTTAACTTCGGTTTCTCCTGTAATTGTTTTTTTTTTGTAATGTGTATAAATATTTTTTTGACATTTCTAACAATTAAGTCAAAATTTAATTTAAAACTTGATCAATACAATCAAAACAATTATCTTGATACTTTGTATTTCACTAACACATAGTAAATGTAATAAATTGTTTAGTTATGCGGTCACATTGTTTGTCAAATGCAAGGTGGCATGCCTTCACCATATAAGGTTTGAATAATGCGCACATGCGCTAGAAATAATACTAAAGCGTGTGCAGCATTAAATATATTGTTTGTTTTGGTGTCAATAGATTATTAGTGAAATAGTACGAACTGGTTTGGTTGGCGTCCTGCGACTTCGATCCTTGTTAGCATTAAATAAGAAATATTTTTGAATATCTCATGTTCCATATGATTGTTACAATTATATTAAAATGATCTGCGTAAAACTTATAAATCTATGTAATTACTATTACGAATGTTTAGATGGATGGATGGATGTTAGAAGGCATTTTCACGACTCAACGGATCTGCATGAAATTTGGCATAGATGTAGAATACAGTCTGAAGTGTTTTTTTAAATACCACTCGGAGTCGTGGGCAAAAGCTAGTGAATTGTAAATTTAGTTTACATTTATAGTATTTTGTAACTTATTTGTTTGAACCTCTTCACTATCAGATCGTGTGAAATCTTCTTAATTTGCAAATGCTTATAAACAATTCAGTTATTATTATTCCAATCACATTAACTAAATGACAATTATACACTAACAGTCAGATGCATTCCAATTAGTAACATAGACGCAATATAATTGTTGCGCAAACACATTAAAACTATTCAATTTTATTAAGCAATTGCGTTCAATAAACAAAACATAAGGCCTTTTTGCACCTTTTTAAATATACAGGAAGTTTATTGTCCACATATGTATGTTATCTTTACTCAAACTAAGGAATTCTACGACCAGGAAACAAAAACATTATTTTTTCAAATTTAATATGAAAAAATATATTATTTTGTATGTATTTCGTCAGTCTAAATAACTTTTAATTGTATTGTTTCACACTAAACATGAATATCATTTTGTAAGGGAAGGCTTCTTAAAAAACAGTTCTCCAAGTTAAGAAGCCAAGGCAACACTAAAATGTATTTAGTGTGGAATAAAGAAATCCTTATTCTTATTATTCTTATATTTGATACCAAATAACATGTTCTAGCTGTTGCTTACGACTTCGTCTATGTGCAATTTAAAAATACAGCCGTTATTCAGCGATAACGTAGCTTTTTTGATGAAAGAATGTTTTAAACAGCCCAGTCGTTTTTGAATTATTTCATACAAAAATATACTTTTCCTCTTTATACTAAGTATAATCACCTGGCTTGCCACCATTCGTCATCGGAAGCGTTTGTGACATGGAGAATGTCTCCGTAGCGGAAGGGCAGACCCCGCGAAGGTAAGCCGTCGTCTCTCACCGGGTCGTAGTCAAACAGAGCTCTGTGGAAATATACATTTAAGTTAACATTACGTAATAAAATTAAAACTGTAATATATAATGACTTTGCTTATTTCAATATTTGAACAAATAAATAATAATTTACGACAAAAATACGACACACAATCTTGTCCACAAGGAATAAAAAAACATTAGTAAAAACATAACCTATCTTACTCAGTGATAATTTAGCTTTTTAATGTTGCAAGAATTTTTGAAATCGGTCTAGTAGTTTTTGAGTTTATCATACAACAATAAAAATCTTTTCTCTTTATGATATTAAGAATAAACATAATATTAGAACATAGAAAGAAACATTAATTACAAGTTCAATCAAATTTTAAATGTTACATAATGAAGAAACAATACTGAATATAAAATGATTGATGATTCACGAGTTACGTCACAGAAGTTGACAACAAAAAAATGTCATAAGTCAATTGGCCCATTGTTATTTTAAAAAGACTCAATTGACACTTTGTTCACACACAGATAGTATAATAACTGACTTTCAGAATATAAAGACTACTCTCTGTCACAGAGACGCTAAATGTAATTTTAAATTTTTTTAGTGTCTTTAAAATCGATACTAAGGGACTCTCGTGACTTATGCTTATATGAGTGGCCTTTAACATTCTTACCTGACATAAAGCGATCGTTTTTGTGACGTTCTTAAAAGCGTATGATGTTGTTTGAGTTCGTTGATTCGAGCTTCAAATTTATTGTATTCCTGCGGCCGGTAAACTACTGTCAATTTTACATTCTGTCCTGTGCCCTGTAAATAATAAAAAAAGACATTTTATAAATATCAAATGACTGTGTCAAGGAATATTAGACCCTAAAAATATCAACATAACATCGTAAATAGGTTGAGAAAATTGAGTTCACATATTTGTTTACAAAATTCTGAGCTGCAAAAAAGGTATCATGTTATATTTACATAACAATGTTAGAGCATTGTACTTTTAATTATTAACACATTTTCATAACAACTGCAATAACTCATAATATTATCCACAATCACGATTGCGATTGTTTAGAAAACGCGTTGTGAAAAAAATATTTTGTACGTAAAATACCTTGTTTGTATTTTAAAATACACTTTAAAATGTAAATGCATCAAATTGATTTAGTTATTTAATTTCTATTATTTTGGAAATAGGCTTTCCGAAAAAAATATATTGGCATATAGTTTGGATGTTTATAACCATTTAATAAGTGTTTTTTATACAACAATTTTAGCAGCATAAAGAATCTAAAACAATGAACATTTTACATACCTTTAAAGCCTTTGCCGCTAATTCATGAGTCGCGTGCGTAATATCCGTATCGTTGACTGCAAGTAATCTATCTCCCCGGCGCAACTCCCCTGACTTCTCTGCCGGCCCTCCGGCGAGTAAGAAGGAGACATAGATGCCGTGTCCATCTTCACCTCCTACTATATTAAAGCCGAGCCCTTGAGGACCTTTTTCCAGTTCTACGACACGCGGCTCCTCACTACCGTCCGTTACGTCCTCACGTCGGAGAGAATTGGCCGTGCTTGATGCTGAAATGGATAGTTCATATGAAATGTGTTCAAACAGATTGGTGGAACCAACAACCCATATTTTCACAATATGAACTACTAGCTTTCGCCCGCGACCCTGTCTGCGTGAAATTTAGATATAAGGAAAAATAGCCTAAGTTTACTAGTTGATAACAAAGATATATTTTTAATGGGCAAACAATTTTTGAAATCGGCCTAAATAGTTTTAAGTTATTTTGATGCCTGGTTCACATTTGGCAAGTACAATTGGATGGCGTAGCTGACAAAGCATCAAGCCAGTCGAATGCCAGTCCAGTCATTTAACGCTACTGACCAAGTGTGAACCTGGCAAAATAAATGTTATAATGTTATACACAAGTTCAACAAACATGGTAATAAGGCTAGTTTTCTCTGAAACAGTGTAAAAATTAATAACTTACGTGTGTTAGCTCGCGAGGTCCTGGGCGAGGGCTGTCCGTGGCGGGGGCCGGGCACCAGCACGAGCTGCACGCGCTCGCCCGACGCCTTCAGCGCGCTCACCGCGTCCTCGTGCGTCACGTTGTCCAGGTTCACGTCGCCTTTCTAACAGAGTATCATAATACACAATACATCATACATAATGCGAAAGTTTAAATGGATGGATGGATGATAGAGTTTATAGCCTTAACTGCTGGACGGATTTTAATGAATTTTGATATAGACGTAGAGGATGGTCCGGAAGAACATATAGACTACTCACTTTTGTTTTTTTTAATATGTCGCGGACGAAAGTTAGTGTACAAATATGGCTTTAATCTTCAGCCTATGAGGCATACCAGAATTATGAGGGTGATTTTTCTCCCAGAATTAGGTATGTCACCGCAAAATCTTTTCTATTACGGAAAGTATATTCATATCAAATTTTCAAATTGTGTATATACAGGAAGCATTTAGGAAGCAAGATATAAATTGTAAAAGAAACATGATTTAATTCAAAAAAGATATACTTGGACCTCTATAGGCAAATATATAGATCCAAATAGAAAACTCATAACAAATTGTCAGTTTTTTTTTATCAAAAATTAGACATGTCGATGGACATTTTACAATATGACTAAACACTACAAATATGTAACACAATTACAACTAATTACTAACCGATGTGTTTTTGACCATGAGCAGTTTATCGCCGACCCTCAGCCGGCCGTCGCGGTGCGCGGCGCCGCCAGACATTATCTTGGTGACGTAGATACCATTGTCGCCCGGTATGTGCTGGTTGCCCACACCGCCCGCTATACTGAACCCCAGACCTGACCCTCCTTTCACCAACTCTATCTCTACCGCCTGTTCTTTATTCGTTATGCTTGGTACTGTTAATGTGTCCTCGGTAGTACGACGCCTTATTTTCTAAAAATATTTAAAAATCAAATTAATATGGAATAATTTTTAAGACGCTAAAAAAAATAGAGAACAGTAAATATATTAAAAACAATCATATGAATTCTTGATCAAAATAAAATATAAAAAAAAAAGATCAGAATTCTACATAATTGGAGAAGCCTTTTAATTTACAGGTTAATGGATTTTTCCCATACATACACGTTGAGTACAAAGTATCATATTTAAAACTAATAGTAATACAACAGTACAGTAATATTTACTAATAGATAATAACATACCAGTCTTACGGTGTTGCCGGCCTTTTTTAACGCATCTACTGCTTCAGCATGAGTCACATTTTCAACATTTGTGTCATTAACCTAAATGTAAATAAATATATTACTATATTGAAATTTTGTCATAGTTAAAATTAAATAATATTTTATAAACTACATACAAAATAAAATTACTATGTAATTCAACATAAAAGTCAAATCTGCAACCTATAAAATTCTGTTTAGTTTCAATCAAGGTTAATTCCTCTATCCCATAAAGATAACACTGACACACTTTTTTTAATTGGTTATTTTTACACATTTGTAATAGTATTTTTTATACATTGTATGATCAATTCTACTACAATTTTTATTGCATTAAATGTTACCATTAATAAAACTTACTTGCAATATAGCATCATTAATCTGTAGTTGACTTGCGGCAGCGGCACCTCCAGGGATAAGCTTGGTAACATAAATAAGTGGATCCTCAGCCACATGTGGGTTGTCAGAGCCGCCTGCAATACTGAAACCAAGGCCTGCACCTCCTGCTCTTGATAGTGCTACTGTCAGATATAAAAATCCATCTTCACCCACTGTCCGGTCCGTTCCACCACCTTCTATACCATTTATCTGTAACTTCAAATAAAAATTAATGATATAGAATTACTTTTTTTTTAATCAACTTCTACAGACTCTTGGTCCCTACTCTTTTTTGCACAGTTTGGTAAACATAGTAATCATAATTACTTAATGATTATCTACTACCTTTATGTCCCATTTATGTATTGGATGAAAAAAAATTACAGCTGATTGGCTATTAATTAATTAAATTCTATATTGTTTGGTAAATTCTCACCCTTAATAAGTAAAAGAATAATAAAGAATCATACAGACATTAAATCTTTCCACACTAAGATGTACATAATGAACATATACCACTTAATAAATATTTTGCATGTATGATGTATATAATTAACATTTAATAAATAAAGAATTATGAGTTTATTGTTGTCTGATAGAATGTTTTTTAGATATTATAAGTTTGCTAATACTATTACACAATATTGAATAATAAATTAATTTGTAACACATAGTACAATATTACATAAACCATTGCTTGCTTTTCTAACATTTTTTGTTATCAAACAATTTTATAACTAATTAGCATTGATAAACATAAATGTAATTCATAACATTGTATTACAAGACTATGTATGATATTAGTGTGTGTATGCCACTTTATAATTTTTGGTATGAAAAGGGAAAATAGTTAATTTATTAGATTCGATAATAACTAATGCAAGTAAGCTTACCTGTTTCATTTCTGGTGTTGGAACGTGAGCCTGAAAATGGAACACCACATATAACCACACCCTAATATTACAAATAAATATGATAAAATAACCTAATTAATGTAAGTTAAGATATAGACACAAAAGTTAAAATTGAGGCATATTTGAGGTGGCATTTCACCTACTTGAATGTTTGAAATTACTTTCACTATGGCAAACATGTTTGGACAACATGCAATGTTGGTCAGTAGTTCAAGTTGTTATCTGTCACAATAGTAATATACAAGCACTGGTGGTTCACTCACCGTGTCAAGATTGAACAGGGAGGATACTTTTCGAAGGAATCCATTGTGCGTTTTTTTCTTTCGTCTTTCTGTCATTTTGAAGAACGAGTGTGCATAGCCTCTGGGCACTTATATCAATCTCTCCACTACACTATGTACACTGCATGCATTGTTAGTTACACACTTGTGCTTGTTCTGAGCACCGTACTGGGCGACGATCGGCATGCACCATTTTCTACCTAGAACCCACGTCTAGCTTGCACCAACGTTTATAACATCTAGGACCATATTCAAAATAAAACACCTGCATGTAAGTAGTTCCCATTATTTAAGCTGATTAACATGTTAGATTGTTTCGTAAATTGCACCTAGTCCTTATCTAATGAGTGTTATAATCATCGAGCCGAACCCTTTTCTGATAGTGATACTATTACGATGTGTAGCTTTGCAGTTATTGGTTTGTCGCCGATTGTGTTCAATGATAGGATGGTATGAATGTCAAAGCGATGAACTTTAATTAGAATGTCCGTGTAACGTTATTTATCGTGCAATATAAGACTGCTGGGCTGGGAAGTATTTGTTGTAAGTGGGTAAACGATCAGCGAGTAACACAGCGAATTGTCACAAGCAAAATTATCTTAGGAATCTCATTAGCCTCACCGATGATTCGAAAACGTTCCCAAATTATAATGAAATTACTAAACGTTTAAAAATAGATTAGTGTATATTATATGGCCTTACTTGAAACGAATACGAAATATCAGCAGTGTGAATGTCAAAATTTTATGTGCGATATCATTTCACTGAAAATTCATCTATTGGTTGTATTTTTCAATCAACGCACAACCCGTACGACATTGGCACAATTGTAAAATTTAACAGCACAAATCCACACAACGGCGAAACGTTAGCGTACATATCGCTGAAAACTTGTACTATATTTTAGGTTATAAATAGTACTACGGGACGCGAAACACCAACCATCCGCCATTACCAACCACTTGTTGCTTGTTGAACGTTTTGGTTCAGTCCCGTCACGTCATCAAAGAAAAATCAAAACGGAATCAAGTATCGGTAAACACCGAAGTGGTAAAGTATTTTTGCGGTAGATGGCGTTATTATAAAACATAAAGTTACAAGCTAGATGTACAAAGTTCTATCACAAAATGTTTTGAATTAATCTTTCGTATTTACTTTAATAGTAATGATAGGCATTTCTAATTGAAGAATTTGGTTGCAATTATCAAAAACAATAATAAAAGTAAATTGTAATGTTTACGACCGCCTTTAGGCCTTTACTGTAATGTAAGGATGCAGATGCAGTAGAAGTACAATATTACGCTTTGGCATCAAATTGTGCTCTACATACCAATACGCTAAAGAATTTACAACGTGTTCTAACATTTTTATTGGATTTACAAAGATTTATTTTTAAAACAACGTTCGATTATAGTCACCAGTCACTAGAACGCTGTTCTATTGTCTAGTTGGGCTCATGATCTAGACTTTAAAGCGGAGACATAAAAGCTTAAAAATTTGCCTTTTTATTCAATTAGTTTTAAATTAACATTTTCATAAGCGAAATACCACCTCATGCCTGAATCACAAGTTTTCTTGTACGTCTTTGCATGTTATGCATACTAAATCTTTTTTTTTTCTTATAATCAAAACCTTAATTTTAAAATTATAAAAATCATAGAGATTACCTTTTTTTCTTCAATGTCACCGCTCGGCGATAACATCGATGGTATAGTTCCCACCTATAAAATAAAAGTCATTAAGTAGAAATTTTAAAAGAAAACTAAATTTCAGCATTTTTTTCTTTCGCAATTTATAAAAAGCATTAACTTTAATTTTAGCTTGTTATATTATTATTACCTTCCCTGAATCTGGAGTGCCATCGTTTCTGTGTTCGTCTTTCCTGTTGTTGTCCTGTAGGAATGCGTTCGACACAGATCTGTAATCGCTTTCCTCTGTATGTATCTGAAACAAAAATCAACATTGCATTAAAACTAAAATTTTATAATAACACAATTTTCATTAATAAAAATAATTTACTCGCCACAAACAATCTACAATCCAGTGTAAGAAATTGTAAAGGGTCAGGGTTATGGATGAAAGTTTTACAACCTCGTCTATATGTAGATAAATCAATAAGTAATTACTATTTTAGTACATAACTATAAATATCTAATATGAGTACAGGTGTTGGAATATTGATCGACATGCACGAGTAAAAAGAATTGCCTTACGACGATTGTTTGATTTACGATTGACCGGTTTAATAGGTTAAGGTAACATCGACCGTGTAGAATTACTGCTATATTTACGTTTAACATATAATCAAAAGAATACATAATATCAAAATCTTTGTAGCGGAAAAATCGCTACGATATTGAAATTAAAAAATTTAAAATCGATAGTCTTTTGACTCTTACATTTTATCAATAACTTATTCTTTTTATTTATGGTCATCAAACAAAAGTACATCTTTCCGGTAAATAAAATAAACGTAATTACAATAAATAACTTAAAAACCCGTTCATTAAATTTTCTTTTAATATGAAAGGCAAGCTACCGTTTATTACCTATCTTTGTTCAAGCAACAGATTCAAAGGTAACAAAAGTGAAAGAGTACTATTCGAGCAGACGTCGGAAACAAAATATGAAATAGTCTATGCCTATACAATGGGAAATATTTCGCAATCAAAATACTGCTGCCGTTGCACAAAAAGGTATATTGCGAATTCGTTTCATGGACCGCTGATGCCGGCTGTATCGGAAAATTAACAGCAGTAAATAAAACTTTAGTCCAGAAATTGTTGCCTCGTTCACTAACGAACCTTATCTTTTTTAATTTTTTACAAGTTGATTGCAATTTTCCGACAGTTTAATTTGTCCAATTCAATTTAAGGCAGGAATCAAGGAATTAATTACTACACACTTGTTTTGACTGAAAAAAAAAACTGCATATCGCAAGTACTAGAATGATTAATTAAAAACAATATGTTTACCTACCCGCTAGATCCATGCTCTAAAGGATTAGTACTTATCTGTACTATCATAATAAAGCGTAAACACACTACTTTGTGGGCGTAGGATGTCCGCAATCACAGCATTTTTTAATAATTTTCTTTCATAAAAAGCCCTACACGTACGACACGCTTTAGGCTATATATTTTGACGTTGTTAAACTTAGGGGATAAATAAATTGAAAAAAAAAACCTTCATGAGTAAGGAACTATAAACTACAAGCTGCCAACATTAAGGAAACAATGTTATATGGGTAATGTTGACACTTGCAATTGAGAATTAGACAAATGTAAACAATAAAATAAAGTTTTTATAATTTCACGCGGATGAAGCCGCACGCGAATAACTAGTTATTGTATAAAGTTGATAATACAGTAACACAATACACGTAGTTCACTATCAAAATGAAAAGGCCGCGGGATGTTTGCAAAAGCCACAACGTTATTTC